GTTCCGTCCCTTGCCTGCCCCCCCCACAGGCCGAGGGAGAACTGAGGGCTCTACGTGCAGCCAAACAAATAAGGCGCTGCTCTGCGGGGGAGGAGGGAGTGACTCTGGCTGCTAGAGGCCCCAGTGGCTGCGAGCGGCTTTCAATCAGGCACAGCCGTCCAATCAGCCACACCGCACTCTGCATGCGGGGAAGGGGGAAATCCCGGACATTTCTACCTTATTAGAAATCCCCCCTGGACGGCCATTTAAAGCTAAAAAAGCCGGACATGTCCGGGGAAACCCGGACGGATGGTAACCCTAGTGATAGTGTAATCTGTCATAAGCAGGTGACTAGATCCCCAGGTAGCTGCTTTACATATTTCCACATAGAAATATATCAGCGATTATGCCTGAGCTCTGGTAGAATAAATGCTCAATGAAGCAGGAGAATTCATATTAACAACTTATTAAACAGGCCCTCACACAGTCATATATGCACCTAACTAGACAAAAATCTAAAAGGTTTCATCCTTTGCAAATTAACATGCCAAAGTGCATCTGATATTCGACATATGGAGTATAGAATCAGTGTTAGAAGCGGGTGGTTCAAAGAAAAATATAGGCAGATGAATCCTGGTTTAGATTTAAGTCTGTGACAATTGTCAGTAGGAACACAGAATATGTCCTAAAGACACTTTGTCTGGACATAAGATAGCATAACTTGGGTCTGCATAAAAGCTTGGATTTCTCCACACTTCTCTTCGAGGAGATCTTAGTCTGGGATCATCTCTGGACTACTCCATACCCTGTACATTTTTCACAGAAAGCTTCTTGTCCAACATGCCAGATTTTGAAACAGGATGTTGCTGATGAGGCCCAGGAAGTTAGGGACCCAGTACTAGCACTCTAAGGAGCAGAGAAGACATTTACAGGATGGTTATATGACACAGGGCCTGAAGCTAGTCTCATTGCTTTACCCATTAAGTGCATCTGGAGCAGGGCTTCTCTAGATTTGCAGGTCCTACAAGTGAAGGACTTGCAAACAGTACATTTTCCAGGGATATGTGATTCCCCCAAACAAAATAAATATTTGAAATGCTAAACATTAAACGGTATAGTGCCCTTGTTTGATGGACAGTATGTAAATCCAGGGATCTTAGAAGAAGCCATTCTGGTACCAGAAAGAAATAGCTATTCTGGTTAAAAAATGAAACCTATTCCTAAGAAAAACCAAAATGCCAATGGGCAACAACTATCCCTATCTATGCTATGCACAAATTTGAAAAGAGCCAGCTATTTTGTTAACACTGCTTACTGCCCATGTTCATCTCGAAGCCAGGAGGCATGAGAGGAAAGGACAATTACCTGTTCCGTAAGTGGCATTCTTCGAGATGTGTTGCTCAGGTGTATTCCACAGTAGGTGTGCGTGCTCGCCACCTGGTGCTGGAAGTTTTTCCCTTAGCAATACCCGTACGGGGGAAGGGCCACTGCGACCCCTGGAGTGGCATCTCTATATCGCGCTATAAGGGGAGCTGCGCACTCCCCCCACCCTCAGTTCCTTCTTGCCGGACAACTCCGACAGAGGGGAAGGAGGGCAGGATGTGGAATACACCTGAGCAACACATCTCGAAGAACGCCAGTTACGGAACAGATAACTGTCCTTTCTTCTTTGAGTGATTGCTCATGTGTATTCCACAGTAGGTGACTCCAAGCTATATCTGATGGAGGTGGATAGGAGTTTAAGGGTTTCCGGGACGGAGTACTGCCCTACCAAACCCGACGTTATCTCATGTTTGGGAGACGATTGCATAATGTGAAGAAAAGGTGTGGACAGAGGACCACGTGGCAGCTCTACATATGTCCTGGATAGGGACGTGAGTTACATAGGTGGCCGACGAGGCCTGAGCTCTCGTAGAATGCACCTTAACGATAGGGGGCGGGGGAACCCCTGCCAGATCATAACACGTGCGTATGCATGAAGTGATCCAGCGGGAAAGGCGCTGAGTGGAAATTGGTTGTCCCCTCATACATTCGGCCGACGCAACGAACAGCTGCGAGGATTTCCTGAACGGCCTGGTTCGGTCCAGGTAAAAGGCCAGCGCCCTACGCACATCTAGAGTGTGTAGGCAGCGTTCCTCATTGGAGGAATGGGGTTTAGGACAGAGTACCGGTAGGAAAATGTCCTGATCCATATGGAAGGCGGAGACCACCTTCAGGAGAAAAGCAGGGTGTGGGCGAAGCTGGACCTTATCCTTGTGGAAGACCATATACGGGGGTTCTGAGATCAAGGCCCTAAGCTCGAAGATACGACAGGCTGATATGATAGCAACCAGGAATGCTACCTTCCATGACAGGTGGGACCAGGAACACGTGGCCAAGGCTTCAAAGCGAGGACCCGTGAGGCAGGATAACACTAGGTTTAGATCCCATTGCAGGACAGGGGGCCTGGCATACGGGAATGAACGATCCAGGTCCTTTAAAAAGCGGGAGGTCATATGGTGGGAAAAGACTGAGTGGCCCTGTACCGGGTGGAGGGAAGGCCGATATTGCCGCCAAATGCACCCTGACAGAGGTGGGAGCTAGCCCTTGGGTCCCAAGGGACAGGAGGTAATCGAGAATGAGTTGGAGCAATGCAGACGATGGGGAGGTTCCCCACTCTCCCCCCCGCACCTAGAGAATCTGGACCATTTAGCTAGGTACGTCCGTAGTGTGGACGGCTTTCTACTTTCCAACAGAACTTGTTTGATGTTCTCCGAACACCTCCCCTCCTTGGCATCTAACCATGGAGCAACCACGCTGTCAGGGCACAGTCCCCGCTCCGAGGACCGCTTGACCTCTCGCTTGACGGCTGGCTGCCGATGCTGAGGTCACCATCGACTGCACAGTACCATAGGAGCGGTGAGAGCGACAGTGTCTGTGACGGTGCCGTCCACGTGACTGGGACCTCAACAACGAGGATCGGGACCCGTTCGAGTAGCTGCTCCTGTACTCGCCCCAGCGGCTGGAGCTATGATGCTTCGGTGCAGGTGAATCTCAAGAGGAGTTCCGAGTGCGATATCTTGTGGAGTGGGAACTCGAATCAGAGTGTCGACGACGGTGGCGTCTAGATCGGCTCCGGTAGCTGCGACGCAAGGAAGAGCGTCGGCACCGCTTATCCCGGTGCTTCTGTCTCTGATCGCGGGGTGTGGAGGAGGCCCGAGGCTCCCTCGCGAGCAGCGAGCTGGTCAGCCTGAGTGGAGTAGGGGGCTGGCGTGAGCTGTGGGAAGACTGCGTTGAGCGAGGGGTCGAGCGAGGGGTCGAGCGGTCCTCAGAGCGGGGACTGTGCCACGTCAGGGAGGGCTGTTGTGCTCCCTGTGGCGGCTTCCCTCAAGACTGGGGGCCCGTCTCAGGCGGCGCCCCAGGTACCGGGAGGGCTAAGATGTCACACGTGGCCTGTGCAGCCGCCGGTGTCGACGGCATTCTCACCACAGGGGAGGCATGCGCGGACGGGACTGGGCTGCTCCGCTCAATGCGAGCCGGAGGCCTGGGTCCCCAGGGGAATCGCGAGCTGCCCAGCTCGGGTCTGGCCTCATCCTTATCCTTCTCTCGGCGTCGCTGAGTCTTCCCCTGCTTCTTGGAGGGGGAGTGGTGCCGGGGACTTCACTCTGTACCGAAGACGCGGTGCCAGGCGCCGAGTCTGTTCGGCGTGCCAGTGCCAGGTCCAGCGCCGATTCCATTAGGAGAGCGCGAAGCCTAATGTCCCTCTCCTTCTTAATCCATGGCTTGAATGATCTACAGATCCTACAGCGTTCACTTACATGGGTCTCGCCCAAGCAGTGGTGACACTGAGTGTGCAGGTCACTTCTTGGCATAGAACTGCGACAGGAGTCACACGACTTGCAATCTGGGGCATGGGGCATGCTCCGAGCCCAGACGACTAACTGGAGAAACTATTCAGCTATTAGAAGAACTGTACTACTAAGGCTAACTAGAGACAGTGTCCCTTTAAGGTCATAATTGGCCACCAGGTGTCATTCTTGCTCTATGCAACCTTATTGGTAGGGCCCCACAGTCCATTTTGTTCAATTTCATGGTCATAGGATTTTAAAAATCATACATTACATGATTTCAGCTATTTCAATCTGAAATTTCACAGTGTTGTAATTGTAGGGGTCCTGATCCAAAAAGGAGTTTGGGGGGGAGAGTAAGGGGTGTTGCAAGGTTATTGTGGGGCGGGTTGCAGTGCTGCTACCCTTTCCACTGTGCTGCTGCTGGTGGCGGCACTGCCATCAGAGATGGGTGGCCGGGAGCCCAGCTCTGAAGGCAGAGCTACCATCAGCAGCAGCACAGAAGTAAGGATGCCATGGTATGGTACTGCCACCCTTACTTTTGCGCTGCTGCCGGCGGGGCGCTGCCTTCAGAACTGGGTGCCTGACCAACAGGCACTTCTCTCCGGCCGGCCAGCTCTGAAGGCAGCGCAGAATTAAGGACCCCCAATTTGAGAAACACTGGTCTCCCCAGTGAAATCTGTATCGAATAGGGTAAAAGTACAAATAAGACCAGATTTCACAGTCCGTGATGCATTTTTCACGCCTGTGAATTTGGTAGGGCCCTACTTACTGGAGAAGATGTTCCAGATCTACAGTGAATAATGCCCAAAGACATGAGGCTGCAAGATGCTAAGTACCTGCTAAGAAGTGCTTGGAACCTTGCAGAAAATGATAAGCTAATTAAGAACATAATACATACTTTCAATTTATTATACTCAGGAAGTTCTAAGAAACATTATTCAAGTATCTTGAATCTTGTAAATATGACTGAATGTTTGACACACACTACTGCTAACAATCATTATAAAAGCAGCCAGAAGAGGCCTGATGCAACATGGTACCTGGGCAGTAGCTTGATCATGTTGTGCTGTCATTCTATTCAATTCATTTCTAATTTTGTGCAAAACAGAATCTTTTTCTGTGAATTCCAGTTTTGTTTTCTCCAGCTGGAGTTGAATTTCTTGAAGTTTGTTCATATGGAATTTCTTTTCTTTTTCTTGATCTTGTAGCAGATGTTCCAGTTCTTGAACTCTGGAGCTTAATTCTTAATTTAAAAGAAAAAGGATTAATATGATGCCTTCTACTTAAAAAGGTATTTACTGTACTAGTACTTTAAAGCAGCCTACACGTTCTAATTAGACATATTCTGTGCACTGCATAAGACTTTAGGCACCTATCAAATGCAAATAAAAAATAAAAACTATTTAAAAACTGCTTATCAGGTTAAATTTATAGCAATATAAAAAAATTAAAATCTATTATCATATCAGGAAAATTGAAAGGCCTTTAAAAGTCTAGTTGGCACAATTTATGTTTATTTTTTGAGCTTGGATAGTGACTGTACATCAGTTTCACTTGGTTTTTTACTAGCTTCATTTTCTGATTCTTATGCACAATGTTGCAGTGTTTAGGCCACCAATTTTGCAGAGGCTCTTTGTTTTTAAGAACTACCTCCACTGGAATTTTCTAAAAAGTTATTGAAACATTTCTATTTGGTCTTAAGTTATGAAAAAGCTGCTTCTTAAGAAAAGCTATTACAAACATATTTTTGGGGCCCAATTTAACCAAATAGAGTTAATTTATCTTATTCAATACATGTCTCACTTTTTGCAAGGGGCCTTTAGTAAATACAATCTATGGTCTTTTTCACATCACTAAAACATTGCGTATCTACAAATAAAAACCGCTTTTGTCATGATACACGTGTGTGTGTTTGGGGAGGCTCAGAATCTTTTCCACGCACTTCAATGGAATTTTGTACATGAAGAACAGTAGTCAGCAATTTCAGATTATTAGCACGTGAAATAAATTACCTCATCATTCTTTCATGAGGACTGATACTCTAGCTGCAAACAAACAGATGGCAAGCAATAGCAGTTGAGAATTTTCCTTTTTTTGGTCACTGACCCTTCTCCATGCCCCATCCTCCCAAAAAAACCCTTCAGTCTTCCAAAGCTCAAACTTCAGAAAATCTAAAGACCAAAGATAGAATGACAGAGCACAAGACATGAAATGACCCTAAGTCACCTGTCACCTTATCTGCTGAAGATAAAGTTCATCCTATAGTGTTTATTAAATGTCTACAAAGACTTCCAAGTGGATATCCTGCACAGCTGCACTGAGACTATGGCTACTACAGTTTAAGTCGACATACATTATGTTGTTCAGCGGTGTGAATTAGCCACCCACCTGAGCGACATAACTTGCACAGACTTATGCGCCAGTGTGGACAGCAGTATGTCAGCAGGAGCGCTTCTCCCACCGACATAGCTACCGCCACTTGCGGGACCTGGAGTAATTAAGCCGACGGGAGACCTCTATCCCACCGACTTAGAGTGGCTACACTACAGAGCTTACAGCAGCACAGCTGCACCGATGCAGCTGTAAGCTCTCTAATAGAGCCGGAGCTGGAGAGAAAGAAACGGGGAGTGGGGGGGGAAAAAAGACTTGTCAGATGAAGAAGTTCCATTCTACTACGGTTTTAGTTTAATCAGGCAAGGATCTCTATGAAAAATGACTTCTTGATAGAACAGATTACTCGACAGAAATCTTCCAAAGAATTACATTCAAGAACACAATAAAACAAGTCAATTTCTTAACTCAGTTAATTTTTTCATACTGGAAAAACTTTATAAATCAATAAAATAATTAATAAACATGTATATGGTGTTTTTTACCCAGAGATCTCAAAAAGTCTTACAAGTTGAGTAGGTATTTTACCCCCATTTTATACATAAAACAGTCTTCAGTGAAGTCCTTAAACACAGGTTTTAATTATCTTTAAAAAAAAGACCTTATTTATAAAATAGATATAAAGTCATAACTATACTTGCAAGATACCTTGGCTCTGTGTTTTTAACTGCTCGATGACAGAAGAATTACCACAATTGTCAGAAAAACTGTTGTTGAAATCTGTCTTCTTTGATCTTAAGCCACTGTGGCTAGGAGGTGCTTCTTGTTCCCATGGAAAATGGGCTGAAGTAAAACCCCTCTTTAAAGGGGTTTCTTGACTGCTGGATGAAGGACAGCTTGGTGTCTTTTCTTGTTGCCACGAGAACACTGATGAAGAAGCCTGATGCCGAGCAATCTTTCTGTGACTCTTAGTACTTTGAGGATGAGAATGATTTATTTTCTATTTAAAAAGAGGGGGGGAAAGCATATCTACCTTTGCACAGCTGACAATTTATAAGAGAATTCATTCACTACTGTATGGTAAAAATAAGGTAGGGCAATAGGTCAAGCTGTCAGTGACAATTTTTGATAACAGAGTCAGCGACACACATCATTCATCAGCGCAAAGGACTATACGATTCACACCACTCTGCTTTTACACCCCCAACAGTCAACTGACTGGAATACTTTGCCGATTAACATCACAGGCAGCTGAATAGGGTTCAGTTCAAATATATCTAAGCTGGCCAGCATCTCAATGACAAGAAGTTTGACTTGTGGTTCCTTAGATTTAGTATATGAAGTTTTTTGTTTTGTTTTTTAAGAGAAGCATCTTATCAATTAACATTGAGGTACCTTCCCACCACATTCCTCATGATCAGATCAATTTTGTAGAGCTAGCTCTTGACATGCACAACATTCATTTATGTACTTAGTTCTAGACTTACGGTAAATTAGATCCTCATTTGTGTTCTGTGGACAAATATAGCTACATTTTAGACTAAGGGCTTGTAGCGGGGTGGTTGCCCTGCTCCCGCCTTAAAGGGCTTAGAACAGTGGGGCGGGGGAGGGGGAAGAGGGGGGAATGAGCTGTGATTGGGGAAGCAGCCTCAGCTGGGGCCACGCCCCAAACAGAACACAGCTGGCCCTTATAAAAGGGCTGTGAGACAGATGCCTTAAGACTCTCTCTCTCTGCCCTTAGAGAGAGAAGGGCCTGGCTGCTCGGGCATGTACCTGGGTACCTAAGGTGGAGCAGGACTGGGGGAAACCAAGAGGCGCTGGGGAGCGCTGGCCTGGAAACTCCCCAGGCTGCTGGCCTAGTGCAAGGCCAAAAGGTACTGGGGTTGCAGAGGGCAGTCCATGGGTAGGCAGAGGTAGCAGGCCCAAACCCTCCTTGCCAGTGATGAGTGGCAATCATACTGCAGTCTGCCCCAGTGAATGGGGGCTAGATGGGGACTGGCAGTAGCCAAGACTGAGGCAAGGTGGAGATAGGGAGGTGGGGGTTCCCTGGGGCGGGGAGATCCACCAAGACTGTGAAGGTACTGCAAGGGGCAGAACCCCAGTGGAATAGGGCACCGGGGTCTGGGTGAGACAGGGGCCTGCAGAGAGCATGCCAAGGCTGTGAAAGAGCCAATTCCCAGGAGGACAGCAGGAGGTGTTGCAGTGGTGAGTCTTGACCCATTATATGGCTCTAGTCATCTCCAAATGTGTGGTGATCACATTAGCAACAATTCTACATATAAATCATTCCACACACGAGAGATTCATTTATTTGCACTTATTTTTACAAAATACCTGGACTCAAAAAACATGTTTTGGTTCTAATATCAGATATTTTTCTTTCACTAGACAATCTCTGTGTCCGTAAACCTCTGACTGCCAGAAGCTGGGACTAGATAACAGGGGATGGGTCACTCAATAAATTGCCCTGTTCTGTTCATTCTCTCTGAAGCATCTGGCACCATCCAGAAGGATAATGGGCTAGATGGATCATTGGTCTGATCCAGTATGGCCGTTCTTACGTTCTAAAAATACAAGGAAGCTGCTATTGGTACTTACTGAACTTGGTTTTCCAATATATCTAACATTTTAATAGAGTTTGTGACTAAAGCACTAAGGGCCCCAATACTGCTCCCCGAAAATTAACAAGAATTTAATCCCTGACTTTAGTGGGATTTTGTTTGTAGGTTTTCTATACAAATTTACTAAAAAAGGATTTAAGCATGCTGAACTAGTATATTCTTAAGGTGGTAAAACCGAACTATGCCCAACTTGAGTAGGTTAGGTTTTTTTGTTTGTTTTGTTTTTAAAACAGAAAACATAAGAGGTCATTTTCAGACTTTAAATGCAAAAACATATGCATTCCCCATAAATTCTATCCCTTTTTATAACTGTAGGTATTGAGAAATTCTCAGTCGTGTGATTATTTACATGAAAATATTTAAAAAGTCCTTTTTGTGTATTCTAATTAATACTACATTTTTGGAAAATGCTGCCAGAAAATTAACCATACCCACTGCTTACTCTTCTTAATATTTAATCTCAATGGCATGAACAAATTTAATTTTACCAGTTTCCCTGAAAAATCATATGGTTAATTTTGAAGAACTGCACCTTTCTCCATTTCACACATTAAATGAGATTACAATGCTGAAATACTATATACCCCTTTTCAAATTTATATTTACTTTAACCTGGATATTTCTCAGTTCTGCCTCCAGCCTTTTTCTTTCTTCAACTTCTTTATTGTATTTTTCTTGGAGTTTTTCAAACTTAGAATATTCAAATTGACAATGAATATTTGCTAATAATCTGGCTCATTTCATACATAATATCTTTCCTATTCCATTTCTTATGCCTAATATTAGACAAGGGTGATAAAAGCAACAGCCCTCATTAATCTCTAGTAATATATAAAAGACAACAACTCAAGGGGAGTTCTTCTAAAACCAATAAAACTGAATAGTTCAGGGACTGAAAACTGAGATCTGGAACTCAGTGCCACAATGAAAATGCAACCACTAGACTGAGGGACCAATACCAGGGGTACAAATGTATATTGTAATATCACCTGAATGAAGAATTTTTTCCCATTGTTCCCCTGGCATTAACATTTATTTGTAGCATGACTAAAGTATCAGGCATTGAGATTCAGATATTCAAAGGAGCTTAAAAAGAAAAATCAGTGGGAGTTGGACACTTAACTTCTTGATAATGAGAATCACCACACATTTGAAAATCTCAGCCTAAAGTCACATCTTGCTTCTCTCCACTTTAATTCCTACATAACTGTAGCAGCCACTTTCTCAAGCAACACCATAGCCAGAATGCTTTGCACCTTCCGAAAGCAACTGAAATCTCAGCTTTCAAAGGAGAACAAGAACTGATCTCCAACTCGTTAGGCAGGTTGCCAAATTGACGTTTTTGTCAATACCTTGTTTTAGTGTCCATGAAATTTTTCTGTTTTGTATTATAGATTCTGAATTTCACAACCCTAAACTCAAACAAATTGTGTGATGGTACATTGTCACTGGTAAGCATTTTGAAATCGGAGAACTTACTACTAAATCCCTCAAGCCCCCGATTCACCAGCCAGCAAAACTGAATTTCAATTATTTTTAATGAAAACCTCACCTGAATATTTTATTTTAGAACCTAATTAGTTAGGATGCACATATATTATGTCCATATTAGTGTCTGCATTTGTATCCTTCCCTGAAGCAAGACAAAGCATATTCTTGGTCTCACAAAGCATGCTCACTTAAATTCTTACACACTCACTCATGAGAATTAATTTTCAAATATTGGAAACTTATAGACATTAACAAATTATAAGCCAAACACATGGTCAGCTGTTTTCTTCATAAACCTTTTGTTTTCTTATGCTTCTGGAATGACCTGTACTTTCAAAGGAATTTACATTTTATTCAATTGCCTATTAGAAAGGGGGAAAAAATTACCATTGTGATTGAGATTTGGTGATAAAGGAGCAGTAAAATTCTTCTGTGGTGTACTATTGAATGATAAGTCTCCTGTAATCAATGTTTGCTGACTTCTCTCAAGTTTGGATTTGTATGTTTAAAAGAATTAGCAGTGCAAGGAATTAGTTACAGAAACAAATAGGGCCCAATCATACATTTTTAAGAGCCCCAAATGCACATTGAATGGCAATTTTGGTTGCTCAAGGAATATAAAATTAGGCATAATAAAGATATCACTAAAAATATTATTCCAGATGACAATACGACACCATCAAATAAATATTGGAATCTGTACTTTACTTCTAGTGATATTTGGTGGTTTAAATTTTCTCTTATATGAAAGACAATTGTTTTATATTACATATACACTCAAGGTTTAATATTTCAGAAGACTCAAAACTAAAAATTATACACAAAAAGGACACATGGATGAAAAGCAATTACAATGATTATATTTCAGAGTAGCAGCCGTGTTAGTCTGTATCCGCAAAAAGAACAGGAGTGCTTGTGGCACCTTAGAGACTAACAAATTTATTTCAGCATAAGCTTTCGTGGGCTACAGCTCACTTCTTCGGATGCATAGAATGGAACACACAGACAGAAGATATTTATACATACAGAGAACATGAAAAGGTGGAAGTACCCATACTAACTGTAAGAGGCCAATCAATTGAGATGAGCTATCAGCAGCAGAAGAAAAAACCTTAGAAGTGATAATCGAGATGACCCATAGAAGATGTGAGGAGAACTTAACATGGGGAAATAGATTCAATTAGTGTAATGACCCAACCATTCCCAGTCTCTGTTTAAACCTAAGTTAATTGTATCTAATTTGCATATTAATTCGGGTTCAGCAGTCTCTTTGGAGTCTGTTTCTGAAGTTTTTTTTGTTGCAAAATTGTCACCTTCAAGTCCCTCACTGAGAGGTTAGAGAGGTTGAAGTGTTCTCCCACTGGTTTTTGAATGTTACGATTCCTGATGTCAGATTTGTGTCCATTTATTCTTTTGCGTAGAGACTGTCCAGTTTGTCCAATGTACATGGCAGAGGGGCATTGCTGGCACATGATGGCATATCACGTTGGTAGATGTGCAGGTGAACGAGCCCCTGATGGCGTGGCTGATGTGGTTAGGTCCTATGATGGTGTCACTTGAATAGATATGTGGACAGAGCTGGCACCGGGCTTTGTTGCAAGGATAGGTTCCTGGGTTAGTGTTTATGTTGTATGGTGTGCAGTTGCTGGTATTTGCTTCAGGTTGGGAGGCTGTCTATAAGCGAGGACTGGTCTGTCTCCCAAGATCTGGGAGAGTGAGGGATCATCTTTCAGGATAGGTTTTGGATCTTTGATGATGTGCTGGAGAGGTTTTAGTTGGTGGCTAAAGGTGACTGCTAGTGGCGTTCTGTTATTTTCTTTGTTAGGCCTGTCCTGTAGTAGGTGGCTTCTGGGTACTCTTCTGGCTCTGTCAATGTGTTTTTTCACTTCAGCAGGTGGGTATTGTAGTTTTAAGAATGCTTGATAGAGATCTTGTAGGTGTTTTATCTCTGTCTGAGGGATTGGAGCAAATGCGGTTTTATCTTAGAGTTTGGCTGTAGACAATGGATCGTGTGGTGTGTCCTGGATGGAAGCTGGAGGCATGTAGGTAAGTATAGCAGTCAGTAGATTTCCGGTATAGGGTGGTTATGTGACCATCGCTTATTAGCACAGTAGTGTCTAGGAAATGGACCGCTTGTGTGGATTGGTCTAGGCTGAGGTGGATGGTGGGATGGAAATTGTTAAAATCTTGGTGGAATTCCTCGAGGGCTCCTTTTCCATGGGCCCAGATGATGATGTCATCAATGTAGCGCAAGTAGAGTAGGGGCATTAGGGGACAAGAGCTAAGGAAGCATTGTTCTAAGTCAGCCATAAAGATGTTGGCATACTGTGGGGCCTTGCGGGTATCCATAGCTGTGCCGCTGACTTGAAGATCTATATTATCCCCAAATGTGAAATAGGTGTGGGTGAGGACAAAGTCACAAAGTTCAGCCACCAGGTTAGCCGTGATATTATTGGGGACACTATTCCTGATGGCTTGTGGTCCATCTTTGTGTGGAATGTTGGTGTAGAGGGATTCTATATCCATAGTGGCCAGGATGGTGTTTCCTGGAAGATCACCGATGGATTGTAGTTTCCTCAATAAGTCAGTGGCGTCTCGAAGATAGCTGGGAGTGCTGGTAGCGTCGGGCCTCAGGAGAGAGTCCACATAGCCAGACAATCCTGCTGTTAAGGTGCCAATGCTTGAGATGATGGGGCATCCAGGATTTCCATGTTTATGGATCTTGGGTAGCAAATAGAATACACCTGGTCGGGGTCTTAGGCATGTCTGTACAGATCTGTTCCTGTGCTCTCTCAGGGAGTTTCTTGAGCAGATGGTTTAGTTTCTTTTGGTAATCATCAGTGGGATCAGAGGATAATGGCCTGTAGAATGTGGAGTTAGAGAGCTGCCTACTTCTAAGGTTTTTTTCTCCTGCTGCTGATAGCTCATCTCAATTGATTGGCCTCTTACAGTTGGTATGGGTACTTCCACCTTTTCATGTTCTTTGTATGTATAAATATCTTCTGTCTGGGTGTTCCATTCTGTGCATCCAAAGAAGTGAGCTGTAGCCCACGAAAGCTTATGTTGAAATAAATTCGTTAGTCTCTAAGGTGCCACAAGTATTCCTGTTCTTTTTAATGATATTAAGATTGGTCAGTTGTAATAAAGCTCCCTCTGCTGGACATTTACAAAACTGCTGTGTTTAGGTCCCAATATGCTTGATTTGTGCTCTTAAGCTTCCCTTGGCCTAAATAGGCTGCAGCACGGCCTTTTCCCTCGGCTTCTCTGGTACACTTCCAGGGCACAGGCTCTCTGTTCCGCTTGACAGAAATGGGACCACACGACCTAGCTGTCTTAGGCACCCAGGCCAGCACTGACCCTGCAGACTTAAACACACCCTTTTCCCAGAGCTCCAACATTGTGGGCACTCTGGGTACACAGTTCACCTCTTCAGTGACATGTGGTAGTTCAGGGGTTCTCAACTGGGGGTTGGGACCCCTCAGGGTGTCATGAGGTTATTACAGGGGGGGGGTCTCGAGCTGTGAGCCTCCACCCCAAACCCCGCTTTGCCTCCAGGATTTATAATGGTGTTAAATATATTAAGTGTTTTTAATGTATGGGGGGGAGGGGGCGGGCGTCGCACCCAGAGGCTTGATATGTGAAAGGGGGCACCAGTACAATAGTTTGAGAACCTCTGTGGTAGTTGAACACAGACTTTACAAGGGTTCCAAAAAAACTCTCTGTTGGCAAGCACAATAAGTATACAGATCTGGACCAAAAAAAATAAATAAATAAAACCCTGTACACAATACCCTGCCTCAATTTCCTCACCACACTTAGAGCATTCTTTGGACTTAGGTCAGAGTCCTCTAGTTCAGGATTCTTCCTCTCTCTCTGCCCTCGTGCACATGGTTTCTCCCCTGAATCATGGAGTATCTGTGGTCTTTTCTCTCCTTGCCCCCTTCCCCAGGGTTGTTTAGAGACCCTCTTTTATTACCTCCCCCGCCCTTTGTCAGGTAACTCCCAATCGGCCTCATCAGCTAATTAAAGTACATTACCATAGGTTCTGTTGCTTTGTTACCATCACTCCTAGAATTCAGATTTTGAACAACTAGTTTAGCCTGGATGGTAGCCCTTGCTTTATCCCAGGGTGCTCCATTTAAATGATCATCAAAGTTTAACAGCCTGTCATTGTTAGCCCCATACCCCCACCACTTGGAATTTTAGTCCAAGATGAAGGTAAAAAGACAGAGGCTAAAAGACCCCCATTCAAAATGGAGTTTGCAGTCTGACACAATATCAAACAATTTGTAAACTGTACATAGGCAGATTCCCCAAATGTTCATAATTAAATTGTTTTATTGAGTCCATTTTATGAAGCTACTGCTATATGTACAACAATCCCCCTAAGGGTCATATAACCTCAAAATTCTTTATATTCTATTAATGAAAGTTATAAAGTTAGAGCGTTAGGCTTGAAAATGTTGAGCTATCTCAAAAAAGTTGCATTAGAAAGTTGCAGTGGTAAAAAATCTGTCATGGTGACACTGCCAAAACTATTTTGGCAAAGTGCATTTTACACTCTGCAACTTCTGCTGGCACGATGTCTAGATAGCATTGAGTTGTATTGGCAAAAACATGCTGCACTCTGGATAGGCATTCCGGTGTTATATTCCCAAAGTCTCAGCATTCAAAGACTCAACTGTGGATAACTGGAAAATAAAAGCAGAGGCTAGTCTGTTATAGCTATTCATGGAACAACCACATTTGGTGGAGTGGGAGTTTTGAGCCTAATGAGTGGTGGGACAATCTGTGGTTCTAGAACTTTTAGACACAAGTTCATTCCTAGAGTTGCATGCTCAGCTCACCCCACTCCCCAGCACAGAAATAGCAAGGCGAGAGCTGCCCTTACAGTAGAGAAACAAGTGGTGATTGCCCTATGGAATCTTACAACACCAGTTTGCTATCAATTAGTGGGGTAATCAATTTAGTATTACCGTAAGCCGAGTCAGGATGAGCTCTACCCTGACATCTGGGGGTGAATTATGGCGAGTGTGGAAAAGAACTCCAGGGGCTGATCTTGTTTGCATAGGCACACCCACCCACCTGGCATGAGACAACAGCAACTAATAGTGGTTACTTTGGATGGGGTGGGATCCCCAGTTTTCTGTTATTGGGGCAGGAGGAATAAAGTGTTACTCTGATTATGTGAATCAAGAACAATGAAACTGTTTTATGACAGTGTCTCACCATCACCTAAGTAGCACTTGCTAGACGAGGGACATGGGTTCCACAACCCAGTGAATTGAGAGAGGATGGGGACAGGTATTTGTACTTGATGGTATGGGCCCTCTTTGAGGGCTTGGAACACCAATTGCACTACCTTCTCTCTCTCCACTGTTGAATATCAGAGCTAACTTTGATTCCATTAGGAGTCTAGTTACAGGCTGCTGAGCTGAATTCACTTTGGGCCAATGGTGCACCAGCACTGGGGCTCCCCTACTATGAGCTGAAATCACAAAAGAA